GGGGGCAACCCTGGGGGTTGGGATCCCTTGGTGGAAAAAAAAAAAAAAAAAAAAAAAAAAAAAAAAAATTTGAGAACCATTGAGCTGAGAAGGCTTGCTCCTTCATCTGGGACCAGCCAACAAACTTCATGTCTAGGTGCTGTAGAGACATGGTCCTCACCTCTGGAAAACAAGACAACAATGTGTACAGTCTTCCAGCTGCTGAGCTGTATGATGAAGCTTAGAAGTTTTCTGGGAGTTCAGGGAATGAGGTCAAAGAAGCTTGAGCTGGCCCTTGAAAAGATATGTTGGTAGAAGAAAAAAGTTTCCTGGGACTCCTGTGTTTAGAACCTTTTTTAGGTCACTAACTCCTTTGTGAATCCAAAAACCATAGATCTCCTTCCCAGAAAATGCCCACACACCCAGCCTTGCATACAATTTCAGAGAATTTGTGGACCCCAGGTTAAAAATTTTTTTTCTTTAAATTGTAACCCCAAAGAAGCAACTATAGGCAGCCAGAACTGAAGGGAGAACCTTCCCTGCAGGCAGGAGATAAGTTAGAGGACAGAGTATGGGTTTTTTTTGTTTTGTTTTGTTTTTGTTTTTAAGGCAATTGTGAGGAGACTACTGTTTTCCTGGTTAAACTGTTTCTGAGTGAGAGAGCTTTGCACTAAGGGTCAGGCTTGATCTTTGAAAATATTGTATGTATCCAGAGGCACCATCAATAGGAAAGGCTCTTGAACTAGGAACTTTCCTGTGGGTTGTGGTTCCTCATCTCCTCCCTCAGCATGACTTTCTCTGACCTTCTGGAGACAAATCTGTTTAACCTTTCCTCTCTGTAGGTGGAGGTGCGGCCCATGATGTATGTGGCACTGACTTACGATCACCGGCTGATTGATGGCAGAGAGGCTGTGATTTTCCTCCGCAAAATCAAGGCAGCAGTAGAGGATCCCAGAGTCCTCCTCCTGGACCTTTAGGAGGAAGCCACATGCCCTACAAATTGACCATGCAGGAACTGAAAACCAGTCTTCTCCCCGTCCCCTCGAGGGTCCTGGGTTAGCCTGGTGACGGGCAGACATATGCTGTTGGCCTCAAGCAAGGAAGCCAGGGCACTACGTAACCAGCAGTCACAGGTCTTTTCTTGGTGTTCCTGCCAGGCTCTCTCCCTCTCTGCACCCATCTCTTACCCGCGAATATCTTATTTCTTTAAGCTTGAGAGAGAAAGAGAGCCTTAATGGATGCTCATTAATATTCCTGCCTTTTTTCCATCAGCCCTCTGCAGTCACAGGTCTTTTCTTGGTGTTCCTGCCAGGCTCTCTCCCTCTCTGCACCCATCTCTTACCTGCGAATATCTTATTTCCTTAAGCTTGAGAGAGAAAGAGAGCCTTAATGGATGCTCATTAATATTCCTGCCTTTTTTCCATCAGCCCTCTGCGAGATGATTTTGCTTCTTCCCAGTGCCCGTATACTATAGGGAAACCTCCGGGGACCATGTGATTAAGTTTCTTTCTTTTGGAAGTCTGTTCTCCAGAGACACCCAGTAGGATGCTGTGCCTCCCAAAGCCAGAGCAGCCTCTGTCCTGGCTGTGCACATTCTTACTTGATTCCACCTGTGTGGAGGTATTGACCATAGCAAGGTGCTGATGCTTTGCTGCTTACATGGCACCTTCATTCTCAGCTGTTGTTGACTTCCAAGATGCCTCTTCTACCTCTTCCAGGAAGCACAGGCCAGAGGATGGGTTTTCGGAGGTCTGGGGACTGTTCAGTGGGAGGAGGGCAGAGTGCCCCTGAGGTCATTTGTTGTAATCATAGATGGGAACAGAACCCAGGCCTGCTCTCACTCTCCCACATAGGCTCACACCAAGAAGACCCATTTTGACAGTCACGCACAGCTGTGGTGTTGCCAACCCTTTCTAGGCTACTAAGAACCATTCTAGCACATTGTTCTCATTTAGAGCAGGTTCTGGCACATCGTGGCAGTGGGACAGAGTATGGTCACAACAAACAGCTGGAGCCTGGTAAAGCATAGAGGGGAGAGGCTTCCTGTGGACTGGCTCAGATTGACTTGAGCTTTTAAATTCAAGTTGGTATAAGTATGTGGACTGAGATGGCAGTTCTTTTCCTTCCTGCATAATGGCCTGGAGGAAGCTGGGCCTTGGCTGTCTGTTTGCAAGACACAGGTGTCAGGGGGGATGGACTATAGGGGAAACCAGCCTTGAGATGTTAGTACATAGTGGTGAAATGGCTGATATCATCTCTAAGGTACCGCCCTTGGGTCTGGGCATAATCATTGGAATTCCTTGGAGCATGGTTAAATAGCAAGTATCTTCTGAAAGCTATTGGGCTTCAACCTTTTGTATCCAACTGCATCCAGGCCTGAGGCTGCTGACACTGGACACCAGGGGCCATTAGTGCAAAGTGCCCTTTTGTATCTTGAGCCAAGACGCGAGGCCTAGGGGGGAGGGATTGGGGGTGGGAGCCAATACTGAGTGCCTGCAACATCTACTATTCACTATTCAGAACTTGTAACTAAAATATTTAAACTGATTTTAAACACAAATTAAAGGGCAAATGTTCTCAAATAGGGAATCGTACTCCTTTGGGTTACTGAGGTTGTATAAGTCTCCAGCACTGTTGCACCAATCATTGTCATTAGTTTTGGAAGCCACTTAATGTCCTTTTGGTCATCCTGTGATATCCCATACTTCTGAAGCAAGTTAACACTGTACTGATTGGGGAGAAGGTAGAACCCTGACAGTATGCCAGCCAGGAAAGCACAATAGTCTCTTAGTGTGCAGGCTTCCTTCCAGTGAGCCTGTCAAACTGTACTCATGAAAGGAAATTGGGGTTCCCACCTTTGTGAAGCCCCTTCAAAACACCAGTAGACATTTACATTCTTGGAGCTTGCACTGTTTCTGAAATGAATTGGGGAAGAGGTGGGGGTATCTTTCATAATTTCATTTGAACTTGATTGCCACACGTGTACCAAGATGCTCGAGGTCAGTATAAAGAAGTGAAGGTCATCACCTCCTAGGAACAGTGGTGTGTGCGGGTGAGGGGACAGGGTTGGCAGCTAACCTAGACTGAGGAGACGGGCCTGATGGTGTCCAGGCTTAAACGCAGCCTTATCTTTCCACACACAGTCCCTGTCTGTTCATCTTGCTTGGGCGAGGCTGTCCTGTGAAGGGTTGTCACAGGAAAGAATCGGGTCATTGAGGGCAAGTAGGTAGAAAAAATTGGGTTCAGTGAAAGGAAGTTGCTTAGAATTATGTCAGGCTCAGGGCTTATTTTCTCTAGTAAACCTATTAAGAGGGTATTATTAGCCCCGTTTTATTAAAAGATAAACCATGAGCCCTGTTGGGGCTGGGACCACAGTATTCTAACCCAGGGCACAATAGTGCCAGGTGTGCCATGTATGTTATATGAGGCCCTGAAGTGTGACCTGCACTTCGTGACACAGTGGTCGGAAGTGGTCCGGCATGACTGAGGGAGTGTAGCAGAAGGAACACAGACTTGTGAACAGTCTATGAGGATTAAACTAGTATTCCCCCCAGGTACCATGCCCCTCCCTATTTTATTTCCTGCAGATCCCAGTGCCCCTGACATGACATCACTTCCCCAGAGGCCTTAGGCTAGTCTGCCAGCTGGCGTGCTGCTCACACCAGCCCTGCTTCCTACTTCCTACTTGTAGCAGGCTGCAAGGTCGCTTGACTACCCCAGAGCATCTCTGTGCCTGTCCCTGCTGGCAGGCTGCTCTCATTGCATCAATAAAACAAGGACACCATAGGCGAGAGCAAGCTTTATTGCAGGATGTGCAACCCCCAGGGAAAGCTAGGACAACATGGACCTCACACACAGGCTGCACTTTCCCAGGTCCTCTCTGCCGGCGTTGGCCTGAGAAGCATCTTGCCATTCCAGGACACAAATCTCTAGCCTGAAAGTTAGAGCTGGGCCTTCAGAGTCAGACCAGCAAATAGTGTCAGAGGCGCCACCTGCTGGTGTTGGATGTGCTGGCAGGAAGGAGCTGGAGGCAGAGGTCTAGTGGAAGTTTGTTTCAGGTGCCACACCCCAGTGATAGCATGAGTCCTGAAAGGAGTCTCCAAACCTCGGGGGAACTGTCTTTGGAATAACCAATTTCCCCAGGACTTAAGAGATCAGAAACATCTTGTTTCTGGCTAAAAGTGTAGATAATTATTCCATTTGTTTTGTGGTTTCTCATTCCAAAAGGGGCTGAAGTCACAGTGGGCAGTGAATTGAGTGGAACCTCAAGACCAAAGTGCAAAATGGTAAGCAGAACCAATGCTTGAGAGGGAATCCTAATGGGCACAACTTGTCTTAGCTGCTTCAGCCTGGAGGCTGAATTACCATGTCCTCTTAGACCCGTGGGGCAGGCTTCCCTCTCCCCTTGCCATGGGTGGGCCAGCTGAGGAAGAAAGCACTTTATTCTGTTTTCAAACTTGCTCCAAGTGGCAGAGCTGTGCAGTCCTCCTTCCCCCATCCCTCTTTATCTTTTTTTATTTTCCTCCCCTCCCTTCCTTTTGCTCTATAAAGTCTGAAATCATGAGAGAGGGGGCATCCCGTTTCCACCTCACTCCACACTACAGGCTGCTTCCCTGCTTCCCAGCTTCCCCACCCCCTGCAGGAACAGTGCTGGTGGTAGAGACCCTCTAGTGTGCATGACTAAGATGACCAGCCAGGAAAGCGCTGGTTTGGGTCACTGAGTCAGTGGATGAGTATCCTGAGGTGAGTCTCCAGAGATGTCCCAAGTGGAGCACAACATGGCAGTGAGTGAGTCGCAGAACCTCATGGTAGGCTCAGCAGGTGGTTAGTAGTTCAGAGCTAATTCAACAGAAGTCACCCTTTCACGCAATAGGTCCACATTAAAGGTAGAAGGTATGTGCTCAACATGTATCTGTTGACAGGTGAGAGGGTTCAAGCTGCTTAGAGGGTGGGCCTCACTGCCCCTCCTCAGCTTCTCCAGGAGCTGAGGCTGAAGGTGGGAGCTGAGCAGGAAAGGCAGCTGCCCTATATTCTTTGCCTGGAGCCCATTGATCAGAGGAGCCAGTCCCAGGTGGCAGGCAGAAGAGGAGATCCAAACCAGGCCAGCTGCTGCCATCGCCTCCCCACCCTTCTTACCCTGTCATTTTGCTCCACTGGATAGTACTGAAAAAGGGGTGGGACTTGAGTCTGCTGATACCATTGCCTCCAGAGCCCAGGCGCCGCGTAGGATCAAACAGCAGCAGCTGCAGAGAGAGGCCCAGTCAGCACCCTGGGCAGGTCTCCACCCACACTGCTGAGGCAGGGGCTGACCTCCAAGGACTCCAATCATCATGGCTCCTAGAGGACTCACTTCCTGCCAACCTGGCCCCCAGAACCCTAGTTCTACCCTGGGGGACATTGGTGGTGTTTGGCCACCAACATACGGACTCCAATCATCATGGCTCCTAGAGGACTCACTTCCTGCCAACCTGGCCCCCAGAACCCTGGTTCTACCCAGGGGGAAATTGGTGGTGTTTGGCCACCAACATACAGAAGTTTGTTGTCCCTGTTGCCCTCCTGCACGCACATCAGACGTTGAGTAGAAAGCACACACAATTCTGGCCCCCCATCCCACCACTTAGGCTAAAAAGCTGCTGCCTCTAGGCTTGGCCATACCTCACCTCTGTCAGCAAGGAGGCTGCTGGGTGACTGAGCCACTCAGGCAAGTGGAGCTGGGTGTGGGTCTGGATTCCTGACGGGTGGCTCTGGGATAGTGCCTGGAAGGACACATGGAGGGGATATGAGGAGGCAACCCCAGGAAGGTCTGTACGCTCCAGTGGCAGCCTGGATTTTTTCCCCCTGTGTCACATCCCATGGGGATGAGATAATGAAGACATTGATAGCTGCCTTTTGCTTTGGATCTACTGTATGCCAGACACTGCACTAGGTGCCTGACGGACATTACCATTAAAGAAGCAGGCTCAGGGGCCGGCCCGGTGGCGCACTGCTACAGTGCGCCGCTTGGGAGCGCGGCGGCACTCCCGCCGAGGGTTTGGATCCCACATACAGACCGGCCGCTCACTGGCTGAGCGAGGTGCGGGTGCAACACTGAGGGCTGCGATCCCGTTGCCGGTCCCGGTCCGGTACGGGCGCGACACTGAGGGTTGCGATCCGTTGCCGGACACGAAAAAAGACGCTCCCGCCGAGGGTTCGGATCCCACATACAGACCGGTTCCCGCTCACTGGCTGAGCGAGGTGCGGGTGCAACACTGAGGGCTGCGATCCCGTTGCCGGTCCCGGTCCGGTACGGGCGCGACACTGAGGGTTGCGATCCGTTGCCGGACACGAAAAAAGAGACAAAAAGGAAAAATAAATAAATAAATAAAGAAGCAGGCTCAGTGGAGTAAAGGGACTTGTGCTGAGTTTAGGATTTGAACCCAGATCCCTCTGGCTCCAAGCTTGCTAGAAGCATCAATCTTGGGTTGCAATCAGGGCGGGCACACTATTGGGAATGGCACTGGAACTTGTCTCTGTATAGAAGAAAATCCTCATGGGCTGCTCATTTGACAGCAGGCCATGGCACGCTACCATCAGGGCCAAGGCAGGGGCATGGCAAGAGAAGAAAGTAGGACCTCTCCATACCCCAGGAAGATGCAGCTTTGGAGAGCAGAGGGCCTGTCTGGAGGTAAGGATGAGCTACAAGAAACTCCCATGGGGCAGACCAGGAGCCCTGGGATGGAGAGGTGATGTGAGATCAGGGGAGAGCCACTCAGGATATGTGTAGCCAGGGCTCCCAGAAGCCCTGGGCTATGGGACAAAAGCAGGAGGCAGCCAGGATGGACTGGTCAGATCTGGACTTCAGGTCACTCTGCATCCATTCTGCTGTTTCCTGCCCAATTGCAGTTTGGCCTCTCCATTGCTACCTAGCCTAACTGGCCCCAGATGCAGTGCTGAACTCATCTTGGGGAGGACAGAGGACAGAGCTGGCATCCTGAACATGGGGAACTTTGAGCTCTTGGCTGACCTAGGCAGGACAGGGCAGCTGCTGGCCTGGATGAAAGAGTCTCTCTCTCCTATCCTCCAGCTGAGGTGTTGGGATTTCAGCCCCAAAGGGCATGGCTGGAGAAGTGAGGAGAGGAGGCTCAGGGGGGTGATCTAGCAGCCTTCTGGGACAGAAGAGCTGTGTCAAATTCTACTCTCCTTCCAAGCCTAGGCCCAAGCTCTCTCTCCCAGAACCTTCCCAGGTCAGGATGAGCTGCGAGACCATCCCTGACCATCCCTACTCAACTCTCTTTCACATAAGTTGGCGGTCCCATTAACTATAGCCACTAGAGTGGTAGGGGTGCTAGGTGTGTCCATGGCCCGGATGAGAGTGGCGCTTTGTGTGTCTCATGGCCTGTGCGGGTGGCTGGGAGCAGTTGTACTGGCAGGACATCTAGCCCAATGGCCAGGTCTTGTAGAACCAGGTAGCTTCTGCCCAGACACTGTCTGAATGGACTAAGTCCTCCCCATCCTGCACTCAGTGGCACCCACCAGGGCTCTATACCCTGCCCAGCTACTCACCATTCCCGTCAGCAATTCATAGAGTAGAGACCCAAAGCTCCACCAGTCACAGGCTTCTGTCAGCTCAGAAATCCCACCCACCTCTGCAAGAACAAGAACACACATCTCTCAGCCTCACCTGAGGGCCCTCTCCATTTTCCTACCCAGGCACCACCCATCCCCTGTCATTCTCAACCCCCAGGCTCAACCCACATGAAGGCACCCAAGATCCTGTCCCCTCTTCTTGCCTGGGGCACTGTATAGGTTCTCCACAGCCTCCCTGCAGCACTGGGGCTCCACTTCTGACCACTGGCCAAAATACGTGAGCCGGATGTGACCTTTTCATTCAGTGTTAGGGAGGAATAAGGAGGGACAGAGATTGAGGGTAGCCATCATTGAGCAGCTGGCATGGGGGAGGGGGTTCCAGGGTGTCACCAACATAGTCACAGGGCAGGAGCCAATGGCCATGCTGGGCCCTGAGGCCCAGAGACCATGGGGCATTCCTAGGAGCTTATGGGGAAGAAGGGACTTGTTCCCAAGCCCCACGTTGGCCAACCAGACTCAGGCATTGAGTCCTGTGTGAAAGGCTGGATGGATGCAGAGAAATAAGCAGATAACCTCTGATGTCCCCTTGACCTTGGGGAACCCTCCTTCTCTGTCTGGAGGCTTTGGGGGCCTCCCACCTGAGGGGTAGGGCAGGGAAGCTGGCATACCTACCTGCATGGTCCAGGAGTAGGTTCTGGGGGTTGAGGTCCCGGCACAGCACGCCCTGCTCATGCAGCGCCTCCAGTGCCACCAGCATCTCAGCTGCCCACTGCTTCACCTGCTCCTCCCTCACGCTCCAGGTGGCCCTGCTGCTCCCCTGGCTAGCACCACCCACCCATGGGCGGCTCTGACCTTTGCCTTGGCCACAGCCCCCCAGCACCCGGATGGCCCCCTCACGAACCCAAGGGAGCCCCCAAGGGGGACTGGGGTCCAAGCTCTGGCCAGTCCGCCTGGGTTGAAGGTGCAGGTGGCCCCTTGGGGGCTTTGGAAGGTCCGAGGAGCAGGAAGTACTGGTCCTGGCTGTGGATTCACCTTCAGCTTCTCTCTGGGGTCTGATGGATAAGGCCTCCCTAGCTGGGGGAAGGTTCTGAGAAGTCCGCTGATGCTCCAGGAGGATTCTGTCCTGCCTGGTGGTGTGGCCCCAGGGGAGCTGCGCTGGGGTCAGGAGGCTGAGGTGGGAGTTGAGTTGAGCCTTTATCCTCTCCTGGGTGGAGCCAGGCCTGAGCCCGGCATGTTGGGGGTGTGCCTGGGAGAGCAGGTGGGACCAGAGAGTGCCTCCTGGGCCACGAAGAGTGAGCAGGGAGCATGGGGATGGGGTGGTGGGGGAAGAAGAGTGTGGACACCAGGCCCTGTCCCACTCTACCTCCCCTGTCTTCCAGGTGTCCTGGCCTAGCTCAGCCTCCGCACCTCTACTCCCTCCCCTCCCCTCAACCCACCTGAGGAGGTCCAGCTTCACAACCTGGCATACCACAGATTCTTAACCCCCAATTAGATAAAAAGTATTGTTCATGTCCTGGGGCTGGGTGGTGGGTTCACCAGTGTTCTTCATATTATAATTTTTGGTTTTTTAGAGAGAATGGTACAACAAAATTTAAAGGAGGCCAGGCACAGACTTGCAATGACTATATGTCATGACCTAAGGATGTGTACCTCATTTAAAAAAGTGACCACTATAATAATCAATAAATATCTGCTGTATGACCCAGTTCCTGTCCTTACAGCTTCAGTCACCACCATCCCGTGTAGCCACTCAGAGGCATGGGCACAGCCCAGCAAAATGAAAAGAGCCAAGACTGGAGGAAACCGTGCCAAAGGAGACAGCTTCATAAATGCCCTCACACCCACCTAGGGTGTGAACATCCTTCCCAGGATGTCCCCTGCGCCCTTAGCACCACACAGAGGCCCATGATGGTCTGATCCTGCCAGCAGCCTCCAGAAAGACTGGGTCCCCTGGTCTGTGATTCGCATCTGGGGCAAGTCCCTCCCCTCCCCAGGGCTCAGCCTTTTAAGGGGGCAGGTGATAACAATACCCCAAAGGCCTGAGCAGCTGACAGGGGCCCCTCAGGTCCCCTCACCTTGCACATGCTCCAGGTGCAGGAAGATGGAGTCTTCGCTCACAAAGTACCGCAGCAGCTTTGTCATGTACGGAACTCCATGTGGGATGATGGTCAGCCGCTCCCGGCTCACCGTGTGGCACCTGGGCAGGCTCTGGGTACGGGGCACAGTAGGCAGATCAGCTGGGGACAGGCCAGAGGCTGCTGCAGTTAGTGGACATCCTAGCCCTGGTTTCAAGGGCACCTGTATGAGGGGTGAGAGCCACCCTGAGGAGCAACTGCTTCCCCCAGTTCCCAACATGGTCCTCACTGCTATTTCCCCCATGGAATCCAGGTCCTCCACCCTCCTGGCCAAGGATGGGCAGAGAGAGAGAGAGAGAGAGAAGCATCTCAGGCAGAACAAGCAGCTTTTGGATTTAGAGGGGAATGGACTTCAGATGCAGGTTCTGGCTAGGGGCTTCCTCAGAGGGTAGGGGTTTCCAAGAGCTCTGAGAAAGTTCCAAGGGGAATGCAGAATGGCAGGGGGCTGGGTGGCACCTGCCTTTACCACGAAGGTCCCTCCAGTTGCTGGGTCCTGGACCAGTTGCACCTGCCAAAGTCCAGAAGGCACTGGTCAAGGCACATGCTAGTTCCTGGGGCTCCGTGGCCCCAGCCCTAGCCCCCAGGTTCCTCCATGGAGGCTGGCTGACTCCATGGCAGGGCAGGGAGGGCAGGCTTTGGTGGTGCACAGAGTGTGCCTCTCACTCCCAAGCTGACATCAGTCCTGCTCATCCACCCTTGCCAGAGCTGCAGGTCTTAGTTCAGGTGCTACCTCCTCTAGGAAGCCTTCCCAAATTAGCGTCTGTCTGTGGCCCCTAATCTGTTTCCAGTGCTCTCTGGGCTCACCCTCAGCAGGTGTGTCTAAGCTCCTGCCTCCCCTCTGGACTGTAAGCAGAGACCACACTGTGCAGCTCTGTATTCCCAGAGCCCTGCACAGCACAGGGATGTATATAGTAGGTGCTTCACACATGCACGGTGAGGGGGCCAGAGCCTCAGCTGCTGGGCAGGGGTGAGGGGCCCCACGTTGTAAGAATGCTCTTCCTTCTCCCCTGCTCGGGCTGGGCCAGGTCCTGTGTGGCCTGGGGGGAGGTTGAGGAAGCCCTCTTCTACTGGGGCCCACGGAGATCAACCTTCACCCCAGGCCTCGGCCAGAACCCCACTGTCCTGCAGGGCCTGAGGGCATCACAGCTGAAGGGACCTCAGAGCCAGTCACTTCCTCCGATCTCTGACAAGTGAGGAAGCTGAGGCTCTGGGAGTGTGGCTCCAGGTCACTCACACCATGGGCTTGGCCTGCTTCTTCAGGTCTCTTTCCCTGCCCCATCTTCTTTTAAATAAAGTCCTCTCTGCAGAGGCTTTTTTTTTTTTTTTTAAATGACCAGTAAGAGGATCTTAACCCTTGATTTGGTGTTGTCAGCACCACGCTTTCCCAAGTGAGCTAACCAGCCATCCCTATATGGGATCCGAACCCTTGGCCTTGGTGTTGTCAGCACCACACTCTCCCAAGTGAGCCACGGGCCGGCCCTTGCAGAGGCTGTCTTTGAAGAGCAACCCTCTCCTTTTCATGCTGGTTTTGGTTAGAGGCAGAGCCTGCCAATCACTGTTAAGGGCTTTGTTTGGAGTTGAGCCCTTGACTCATCCCAGTGGTGGGCAGGGGTGGGCTCCAGCTGTAGGAGGGGGCACACGGGGCAGGAAGGCAGAAGATTCAACCGAGATGAGGGGCAGGTGGCAGCAAGCCCAGCACCCTTTGTTGTGACTCGTTGGCCATGGGCCTGCCCTGAAGACACTCCCCAAGGAGGACCTAGGCCAGCTGTGGTGGGGTGTGGGAGCTGGGCCCTGAGTCCAAGCCACTGGGCAGTGATGAAAGCTGCAGCCTAGGATTAGGGTAGGGGAAAGGGCACTAGATCTTGGACAAGTGAACTGAGTTTCTCATCTACCAAGGAGGAATTATAAATGCCCATCTTCCCTACATCACTGGTTTGAGGCCATAAATGGGAAAGTCCTCTGTGAATGTAAGGGCCATGAGCATGTGAGTTACCACATCACCTCTGTGAACCTTGCTCTTCTTAACTGCAAAACGGGGTCATATTGGCTATAAAGCGCTATCTCCGTGTTAAGCACTTTACATAGGCTATTCAATTTTAGACCTACAACGCTACCAGGTGAGAGTTATTAGTGATCCATTTTATTGATAAAGAAATTGAACTTCACAGAGGTTATACTGCCTATGTCCCACTGCTACAAAGTGGTCAGGGTTTGAATATAGGCCCTTGGCAAGTGCCTTCTCTTTGGGCCTCAGTTATCCTCATCAGTAAAAATGAAAGCAGTGTACTGACTACATGAGCACCCAGGGTCCTTCCTGCTGCAGGAGTGAAGTGTCCCTTCTGACCACCAGAGGTCTCTCCTCCAACGGCCAGAGACCAAGCCCCGTCTGGCTCCCTGATTTGTGCAATATTTGAAAAAGAAAGGAAGAAAACTCTGGGTCACTGAGGAGAACTGAGTTTCCCACAAGTACTAACACCCTGGATAATTCCCCATTGTCTCTTGCCAAGCGGTATTCCCCACTATCTTGTCCAGGGCAAGGCCCTCTAATTTAGAGTCCAAAAAACCAGCAGTGAAGGCTGGGGAAGCCAGAAATAAAACTTGATCCATATATTGAAACAATTTGTGTTTTTTTAAATATACTAAAACCCGGGGCCGGCCCGGTGGCTCACTCGGGAGAGTGTGGTGCTGATAACACCAAGGCCCCGGGTTGGGATCCCATATGGGGATGGCTGGTTCGCTCACTGGCTGGGCGTGGTGCTGGCAGCACCAAGTCAAGGGTTAAGATCCCCTTACCGGTCATCTTTTAAAAAAAAAAATAAATAAATAAAATAAATAAATAAATAAATAAATAAATATACTAAACCCCACCATTTATCTAGAAAGAATTAGACCAAAACATTTAACAGTGATTTTCTTGGAGTTAGGATGGTGAGGAGTTTCTTTTTATTTATTTCTGTTTTAAACTCCTGTCTCTCTCATTATATCACAAAAAGGCAGCAGAGGGGACATTTTCCCATTAACACAACCAAACAAATAATTCCCTTCTTTTGCTCAGTGGTTTGGGGGACAGAGCACTATCTATCACTTGACCTCTATAAACCTGTTTCATTCTCTGTAAGACTACTATTAAAACAGCCCTGTCTGACAGAACTTTCCACCATGGAGGAAATATTACATATCTGCATTGTCCAACATAGAAGCCATTGGCCACATGAAGCTATCCAGCCCTTGAAATGTAGCCAGTGCAACTGAGATATAGATTACTTAATTTCAATTAATATGAATAGTCTTGTGTGGCTAGTGCCACTGTATTGGACAACACAATATATAATGCTTTTTCCCACAGGGTGACTGAGGATTTAATGCCATTGCTCTGTAAATGGGAACATGCATTGCGAATGTCAGGTGAGCTTTACTATTGGGAAGATGGAAGGCGGTTCTGGGTGGCTGCTCTCACCTTTTTAAAAATAATCTTTTCAAAAAAAGAAACCCACTGAGTTCTTGGGACACAGGAACAATTGCAACTTTGGTGAAACACAGTAAATCTTTTCTTTAAAGATGCCCAAAAAATCAAAATCCCAGGAAGAATCTCTGATGGGCCAAACAAGCCCAAAAGCTTCAAACAGGTTCTCAAACTCAAAGGCCCACAGGGATCAGACATGTGAAAAAAGCGGGTGGGTGGGGACAGGCGCGAACGAGAGGGCTGGTGCCCCCTTAAAGAGGCCAGCCCCTCCTCCACTCCCTGCTGCCATGTGGGAATGTGAGCCCAACATTTCCAGATCTTCTAATTTTTCAAGAGAAGCAAGAAATCTGGACGTTTTGTGAAATCTGCATATTTTTAAATGTTGGTAATAATTTTTTTTTAAAAAAAGGCACAAAAAAACCTGTTATTGAGCCAAATAAAACAAGATGTGACTTGGATGACTTTTTTCTTCCCCATCCCCAACTTGAGCCTGGCTCCTGGACAAGCTCAGCAAATACACAGAGACATCTCCCTGGCCCCCCAGGCTCCCTGAGAGCAGACCCCTGGGTAGTCTGGCTGCCTACCTAGTTCCTGACCCACCCACCTTTCTGCTCCTTGCCTCCCCCTCCCCCTGCCAGCATCTCTTCAGCCCCTGGAGACCCTATCCCCAGCCCAGTTAACCCTAACAACTGTGCACCTTTGGGGGAACTCAAGTATCATCCCGAGCAAGCCCTGTGCTTCCTCCCTGGGCCTGAAGGCTGCTGCGGGCTGGCACTGCCCTCCGCCTGGATCTGCCTGGGCAGAGCCATGGAACGGAACAGGGGCAACAGCATATCCAGGCCTGGCCACAGGGATCTGGGCCCAGTGGCTGTCACACCTTTCCTAATTTGGTGAAAGTGCTGTTCCCGGCTTGGTTATGACACAGGAAAAGGAAGCAGGATCTCGGGAAGAAAGTGAAGCTTAGTGCCCAAGAAAGGGTAAAAAAGGTAAGAAGGGCAATCTCAAAACAGAATGGTTGGATTTGGCCTTAATTTGTGCTTTCCATCTGCACAGGCCTCAGAATGCTGGATTCCTAAATCCTTTGCAAATGCATGTCCTGGGGTTAAGCGAATTTGGGAATCCTCACAGACCTCCCTCTTGGAGACTCTGGTATATATTTGCATCCTAAAAGCTCTCAGAGGTCCTATAATTAACAAAGTAATGTAACTTTAACTCACCATTTCCCAAATTTACTCAACTTAGACCCCCTGTCATCATAACACCTATGGTTCAGCAGGATCTCACTGGGGGAAATGGTATCAGTCGCCTCTCCAGCCTGTCTGTGGGAGCTGCTGTGCTTGGCCAGGATGGGAGCTTGGCCAGTTTGCAGTGGGAGAGAGACTGCCACAGATGGAAGCTGGCTGGGCCTTAGCTGACAGTCTGGGGCCTATTCCAGGGACCTAGGAGAAGCAGCTGGAGAAGACCCGAGAATGGGAGCCTGCACGCCTCCCTGCTCTCTCTTGTCACTTGCATTTACAGCCATCGAATATATATTAAACATCTTAGCGTGTGCCAGGCCTTTCTCCAAAATTATTTAGTTTTATTTCCCGGATCAGCCTGTGGGGGTAGGATTCTTACCCCACTTAACAGATGAGGAAACCAAAGCTCAGAGAGATGAAGGCACTTGCCCATGGCCAGCCTGTGCACTGCCCAGGCAGCACATCATCTCACGTGTGGGGAAGCCCACATTGTTCTTGTCTCTAGGGGCCCCCAGATGCACCAAAACCACCCAATGAGTGTTTTAAATGACAAGTATCGGGTCTCAACCCTGGAAATTCTGACTCCACAGGTCTAGGGTGGGGCCCAGGCATTTGTATTTTTAGGAAGCTCCCCAGATGATTCTGATAAACAGCCAGTTTGGGAAAGAAATGCTTTAGTAACTACTAGGTATCTCTGGGTGGGGGCAGAGGGGAACCCAATACTGGCTCAGCTCTCATTTGCCCTAACTTTGTTCTTTCTGATTTCCCCAAGTAAGGGTTAGGGTGTTACCTCCCATCTTTCTGTTTGCCCTGAATTAAGGGAAAGGGTGCAAGACGGGGTCAGTGGAGGGTGAGGGTGGCAGGAGAGAAAGGGCAGAGCTGCCCAGGCCCGGGCAATGCCCAGGCCAGCTGGAGGCTTCTGCAGGACAGGCTTCTGGAAATGAGCACATTCCAGCCACGGGAAGTCCTGAGCTGTGCTCGGTGGAGAAAGACTCTGGCTCTGGCTGCAGCTCTGGGTGCACAGTAAGTGTGGGGTAGGGCTGTGGGAAGCGGGAAGGAGGAGTGAGCAGGGCAGCAAGAGCTGGCAGGGCGCCTGGGCACAGCTTCTCCTGCTGATTCTGTTTCAGTTCTCCCTGCAAGTGGGTTTTCTGTGTCTTCGCTGGGAGGCTGTGGAGAGGGGACTGTCTGTCTCTTCTTATTCTCCACGCTCTCCTCTCCAGGACTTGACTAGTGTGTTGGGGGTGGGGGAGAGGTGGGAGCCACTGGACACAGCTGCTCTCCCCTCTGACCCCGTCCTCCACCCTACCCAGAGAAGTGGGGGCAGCTGCTACAGATCTACTTCCATCACATCACGTCTCTCTCCCCACCTGCTCCAACCAATCGCACACACTGCAGGTGTCACTCACTCACCTTCTCGATGACTCCGACCACCCTGCAGCCCCTCAGCTGCTCCAGGGCAGAGCTCAGTGTGCGGATGGGCCGGAGCCTCAGGCTGCTGAAACCCTGCAGAGGAGGGAGACAGGCCACCCGCAGCCTCAGGTTAAGCCCTCCTCAGCCTTGGCTTCCTCCCAGGCTGTGGGCAGGGCTTCTGGCTGCCAGGAGAGCAGTGGGGAACACAGTGGGCAGGACTGGGGTACAGGCAAGGACAGGCTAAGCAGAGAAGCTGGCTTTGACTGGCAGGGGTCCATCTCTTCACTCAGCCCCGCCCAGCCCTCCCAGCACTTGTCCAAGGCCAGAAAGTTCTAGGGGCTTCAGAACCCCTTCTCAAAAGCCTCATCCACAGGAGGCAGATGCTCCCAAGATGGGGGGTAGGGAAAAAACCTAGGATCATGTGAGTCTTATATAACATGCCTTGAAGGCCAAGCACCTGCTTTGGGGAAAGGCAGCCTTGCAAGATGCGGTGAGCCTAGGAGGGTATGTGCGTGTGACTGTGCACAACTGTGGCATGAGAAGTGTATGTGCAATTTCAACCTTCACCCAGTGCCCACTGGGTTAGGAAAAGCCGTATGGGAGAGTCTTTGGGCACGCATGCATTCATGTGTGTGTGTGTGTGCACATGTGGGTGTTGGAGTCTGCTGCAATTCAATTCACAAAAGAAACAATCTGGAGGCTTTGAGCGTGCACACATGCAAACATGTAAGGAGCTGTGTGTCAGGTTTGTAGATGTAGATGTGTACATATGTCAAATGCTCTGTGAGGGTGTGAGACAGGACTGGGGATGATTCAGTGTTTGAAAATAAATGAACCGTGCTGGCGTTGGAAAGAGAGGAAGCCGGGGGTGAATGGGGCAGGCAACTCTGGCTCACACCAGCCCATCTTATCCTGCAGCCCTGGATAGGCCTGTGGGTATGAGGGCCTCAGCCCTCTCCTCTCAGAGCCCTCTTGCTCCTCAGGCCTTTGGGGAGGGGTCTTCTCACCGAGCCAGGGCTGGCTCCACTGCCCACTGTCCGCTGCAAGTGGCAGTTGAAAATCTCCTCCGCCCGTCGCAGGTACTTGGTAATTTTCAGCTTTACAGCCTCACATCGCTCCTTGTTGGGGTCAACTGTGGGGGACGAGAGTCACCAGGGCCCACCCCTGCCCCCCACCATGGCTTTGGAGGGCTGGTGTTCCAGCTCCCATTGCCTGCCCTCTGTCCTCCACAGGAGATCTGTTCTCGATCCCTCCTCTGGGGTGGGAGACCAGCAGTGGAGGAGGAGGAAGCAAGATGGCAGGAGGAGGTTGGGAACCACGGTCACCCCTCAGCTGACAGCACCTTTACAGTTGGCACCCACCACATTGCTGGCTGCCATCACACTCTGGGACGGTACAGGGTGGGGATTTCCATGTCATTTTTTCAGAGGAGGAGACATGCTTCTAGAGAGCTTCCTCCATCTCTGATGCCAGTGTGAAAAAGGACAGGGTGGGGACCAGGATTGGAGGGCCAAGAAATTCACTGGACAGGCTTTCAGGGTTCTCTTCAGCAGGAGGGTAGGAAGGATGAGTCCATTTTTAAACAAATTCCCATTTGGGCCCTCAGAGGTCTCACACTGGCCTCAGCACCAGCCTCTCCCCGGCATGGAAGTGCCTCACCCTGCCCAGAAGAGGCCTCCCCTCTCACTTCCAGGCCTTTCCTGTTCTCTCTCTGGAACACTCTCTGGCCCTTCAGCTGGACGTCGCACCTGCCATTCTTCAGTGCTCAGATTAGAGTTTTGGCTTCCAGAAAATGCCTTATGCTGGCCCAGTCTAGCCTCAGTTCCCCTCTTCCCTCCCTTCACTTCCCCCTCACTCTTCCCACCTAGGGCTATAATTGTCATCATCAACTCACTGATCTCTCCAACTAGAATGCAGGTGCCCAGAGGGCAGGGGCCCAGCCAAGCTCCAGGGGCAGTCCAGTGAGTGGGTCAAGTACACAGCCCCTGCACCCAAACCTGTTCAAAGCCCAGCTTTGCCATTTGATAGCTTTGGAGACTTGAGCAAGTGATGTAACAGCCCATGCCTCAGTTTCCTCATCCAGAAAATGGGAATAAAATAATAGTTCTCATATACTTGGAACTACGTGAAACAACATATATAGTAATTTCTATTACTATGAGGCTCAAATGAGTTAATATAGGTAAAGCTCTTAGAATGGTGCTGGGCATATACTTAGTATAGTTTAATAAGTGCTAGCTAACATTATTATCCTTCATGGAAGCCCTGCAGTGTCAGCATAGTGCCCTGCTCACCCAGTATAGATGGACAGAGGACAGGACAGATGGATGACAAGTCGACCCCTGCACTGCCCTGTCCCTGCCCAGCCTTGGCCCTCACCGTGAACACCACGGAGCAGCACGTCCACACCATTCTGGTAGTGGTTGAAGGCTGCCTCGTAGTCCTCACTAACGTCACGCTCCAGGGCCAGCCGGATCTGCGTGGCCGCATCCACCAGGTAGTCACGCTTGGTCATGTCAGGTGCCCCTGCAGCCACCCGGTTGCGAATCTGCTTCAGGTACACACGGGCCTGGGATCGTGCTCTTGAGCAGGGAGCAGGCTCCAGGCAGGGGCTGGGCAGGCACTCGCAGGCCACCAGGCTCATGGCTGTCCTACCGCTGGGATCTGGAACAAGCAAATCCATTAGGGAGGACCTAGAGGGAAGCCACACCCCTATTTGAACCCCCGTTTCCTCCACTGAATATTGGGGAGACTAGTATTCACCTTCATAGGCTGGAGGGATCGGAGCTAATGTGGGTAAGGTCTCTTCACTGATCTACTCCTCCCTAAGTGGTGGTAATGATAGAACAATAACATGGCTTGGGGCTGTTTTCCTTTCCGTTCAGATTCAGTTCAACAAGTATTTCTGGAGCATCTACTACGTGTTGTGCACTGGAGAGAGCTGAGGATACCTGTGACCCAGCGCTGCCTTCACGAGGTGTCCACAGAGCACACCTGGAGTCTAGTACGCATTACACGTAAGGAAGCCACACACTCTGGGCTCAAAGGCCATTCCTCATGCTGTTCCCTCCACCCTGCCTGTTTTCCCCTCCCTGCTCCTCCTACGGGAATCGCATTCACCATTACGGGTTAAGCGTAATGGCTCCTCTACCGGGAGAGGGGCCCCTGCTTTGTTTCCCTTAGTCCTGAGGTCGGTGTGGTCTGTGAGCTCTGTGAGTGATGAACCCCCACAGAGACGGCAGACAGCTGGACACAGAGCCCGCCTTAAAGCCTGTTGGCAGATTAACTGTGCCACTTTAGCACATTCGGTGCCACTTTACATGGAGTTAGATGAAGGAGGTCAGGGTGACCCAGACCTAGGGAGGGGATGGCTCTGTCCTCCTGGCCCTGTCTCTGAGAAGGCCAGGGGTTCACGTGGTCTCCAAGGACCTGACAGCAGCTCCACCCTGAGCAATGTATGCCACTGATGGCCAAAAGGATAGGAGCAGTGGCTGCGGGAAAGGAAGGCGATCGGAGAGAGGCCGGCAGAGCTGCCTCGGCCCCTCACTGCAGCCTCTGCCACCTTTGCTCTCTCAGGTCCCACTGGGACGGGACAGGGCCCGGACCCCAGGCCATTTCCACCTCTGTACAGTCAGGGAGGAGAGCACAGAACGAGCAACGGGGTGGGGAGGGAGAACCGCATCCCCAAGCCAGCGGGGAAGCTGAGCCCTGGCGCGGCCAGGAGGTGGAGAGAGGCCACACCCTCCCTGCTCGACCCAGCCCAGGGTGACATGCAGCTCTGAGGCCTCTGCCTGCGGGGAGGAGCGGCCTCGGCCGGCTGGGCTGGGCTGTCCGAGTCGGGTGGGCTTCAGGAGCGACCCGGCCGCACCCGGACACAGAAAACGGCGCGTGCATGCGAGTCCCCGGCCCGCGGGGAGCGGCCCAGGATGGCCAGCTGGGGCAGTGAGAGGCCGACGAGGAGCCGGGCAAACACCGTACCTGCCCGAGCCAGGAGCTCGGTCCGCGGGGCCAGACCTCCCCTGCCGCCACCGCCCCTGCAGCCGGCGGGCGAGCGTGCGCCGCGGGCGGAGCTGTGCGCCCTGCAGCCGGGGGCAGGACTCCGGCCGATGCGGCCCGGCCATTGGCTGCAGATGAGCTCATCCCGCACCGGAGAATAAACCACCAATCACCGCCCGGCGCGGCGCCGGCCCGCCCTTAAAGCCGCAGGGTCTGCGCGGCGGGCGGAGGTAGCCGAGGACAAGGTGGGAGTTGTGGTCACCCAGGGGTGCGGGAGGGGCTTCTTCAGAAACCTAGGTCCCCTGGGCAGCACCCGTGCCGCTTCTGGGACGTCTCCTTCATCACTTCATCCGTTCATTCAACTATTTCACGATGATGCATTGAGAGTCTGCGGTGCACAGACGTGGCGCTTCCGCGGGGACTAGACCGCTGTGCTCACGTCCTCCCGGGGTTTGCAGTCTAGTGGGGACACAGGGATTCAAGAACGAAACGGCGGTAGAGTTGATGTTTCGTTTCAGTTGAAACCAGACTTGTGAGGGAGAAGCAGCACGGGGGGCTCTGCCTGAGCCTGGGGGTCGGAAGGCTTCCTGGAGGAAGCGGCATCTGAACTGAGATTCCAATTCGGGACCGCGGACCGGAGGCGGACTGGACTCAGAGCGTCCTCCCCTGCCGCGCTCGCCCTACCCCAGACACCCTTTCGTACCTCTGCCCTC